CCAACGTATGATTTATTTCCATCCTTGGGACTAAATAGGACTTCCAGTTTATGCCTTTCCCTAGAGTTTGGTGTCCTTATTTGGCTGAATTCACCCAATAAACTGAGCCATAGTTTGTCTTGACTTCACCAAAGGACAAGTGCTAAAATGAAGAAGGTTAGGCAATCCTGATGAGTCTTCTGCATGAAGTGAGCATAGGACCCAAACCAGAATCCACCCTAATACCATAAAATCCTGTGCAGGGATTCTACCATATTGGTACAGTCACTCAGCCCACATGAATGGCAATGCCGCCTGATTGCAAATTGGAAGATGTGAAATACCAAAGGGTTCACTTACAAGAGAGAATGCCTTAGGAGTGCTGGTCTACTTAGGAGTAGCTCGGTGACCTTGCAGTCAGATCAGGGTTGAAGAGTAAGGATCAGGTACTGCCTTCTTCCAGTATGAAGCACAGTTTTAGAGCAGCACATTTCTGGAAGCACACCTAGTCAGCTTACACCATTGATCAACCTTGCATCTTGCACCTCTAGTTAAACTCCCTTCACATGTGGACCTTCTCCTTTGTTTTCTTCTCCTTGCTGTTTCCAGTCTTAACTCAGACTGGTTTAGCTTTGACTTCTGGGCTAATTCTCATTTGGAATTAGACCTTGTACTGCATAACTAAGATTTTCCTGTTCCTAATCTTGACCCAGGACTGGTTTCCCCAACATGCTAAACTGGGCCCAAACCAACCACACTCAGGTATACAAACCCAGTGCAACTGACCTGGATGGAGCAATGATTTGATTTTGTATAATGACATTTCTTATGACCCAAAACCCTAATACATGATTTGCTTGATAGAAGGGATAGATCAAAACCTACTCCTTCCTTCCTTCCTTTCTCCCTCCCTCCATTCCTTCCTTCCCCTGCCTATTCACTACCCAGCAGGTCCAAAACGAATACAGTAAATAGAGGATCAAGAAGTCTACCCTGTTTTGCTTTCTTGAAACGTACATTGCAAGCAAAGTGCATTCTTTTCCCATTAAAGTTTCATTTTGAATGGATTGGTTTCATGATTTTTCCTTGTCCATTAACTATCCCTAGAGTTTGAAGGGCTCTTTTCTCCTACAGTTGTCCTGCCCTATCCTTCCACACCTCCATCGTTCATACTTTCCAATCCATTTGCAGTTTGTTTTTGTTTTTTTAGCAAAGGAAATTTCTGCATTATCCACAGCTGCTTGAAACCAGCGCATGGACATCATGGATGACCTTCATAGCTACATCAAAGGCATCTACCCAAACCTAGATGCGTATGTCAGATCCAATTTAGAATACAATTGCTATCCTCTCTCACTTACCAACCAACATTCTCAATAACTGAGAACTTATTGTTAGGAATATTAAAGGGAAACTGGGACCAATTCTATTCTTACAGCTGGGTATAAGAGCTGGTGTATTTATTTAAATTTGTTAGCCACCCAACTCCAGTGGACTCTGGGAAGTTTTGTTCCCAAACAAATAAAGGCTCAGGAGACTATTTGGTAAATAGCCACCTGCAAGGATCTCCATTTATAAGATCTGTACCTTGTATTTATTTAAACAATTTGTATGGCCATTCATCTCACTTAGGTGATTCTGGATAGCTTACAATACATTAAAACTGTACAATAACACACACACGCACACACAAATTAAAACTCTTAACAACAGAGCACACTGTAACCAATGCCATATACTGTAAATCACTCATACCTGCAATCATTTGGTCATTCAGTGGGGCTTAACTAATATCTTGGCCAAACACTTGAGAAAATGGCCAGGTCTTTATACCTTTCTGAAAGACTAACCAGGATGGGGCCAACCAAACCTCAGAGGGAAAGCTGTTCCAGAGGGCAGGTACCACAATAGAGA